AATTTGATAGGCTGATTTATAAATGTCAGGGAATAATATTATATAACCATGGTGACTCACATTTTTAAAGACAAAACAAAAGGGCTGCATATACTGATATAGCCAGAAGCAACTGTTTCCTAATCATCCAACTCAAACTAATAAATGTACATTAGTTTATTCAAATTAGGCCAGTGCCTAATAATAATAACAGTTATTCAGATTTTAAGTACAGTCTGACTGTACTGTAGGCTAATGATTGCCATTTTTTAAATTTGGCCCACCAATGGTGCAAAAGCCACCTAATGAATCAGGTTTTTTATCAGGAGACAAAACCTGGCAATGAATATGATTAAATTAATATTTAATTACTGTAGGCCTTAATCTATAATTTAAAGATAGACTAGGCCTCCTATTATATTGTTATGATTCTGAAATGGCGATATTGGCTATTTCAGGTTTTAATAAGCCTCTGTTAATATTTAGGCAAGTTAGGGGTTTCACATTTTCACTAAAATACTCAACTAAACTTGTTTTCAAGAACTTTTAATTTGAAGAAGTGTGTTCCTATTTATTGTTTACTGTTCACTTTAATGGAGTTTATTTTATAATTATAATTTATACATACAGTGTAATATAGGCACTTCGATAAAGCAAGGGAGACTACTAAAACATTTGTATGGGAAATGGGCACCACCGCAGGGAAAATCAGGGTTTTAATTTTTTGATGTTTCCTTTATTAAGGAATTATTAAATTCCACAACTCTGCTCCTTTTCCATTCTTTGGCTTTGGGGATATCTTGGCCTACCCATCAATCGATTAATTTTTAATTCGCAATCAGTCAACTTTGAGAAAATCCTTGGTACGGGGTAAACATAAGGCAAAAACTTTTGAAATCATTGGTCAATGAAAGCTTTAATTATTAGTCATGAGCAAAAGTTGAACATACAAAAATAAGTAGTTTCAAACCAGTATTATCAAACCAGTATTATTTTTAGGCACAACACTTGGCTTACGTACATAGACTATATTATATATATATATCTATAATGGACACAAGATTCGGTAAACAGAACATCTATATCTTATTTATTAAACTTACTGATAATTGCAATAATGCATATCACATAGCTAGTTAAGTTAGTTACGTTACAATTTTTTTTATATTTTATAATTGTAAAATAGTATTCAAATTAATTTTAAAATCATAACTAATATTAAACAGACAATAAAATTTAAACCTTGAATAAAATTATCATTGAAACAAGAGTTATTGCGCAGCAGAATCGGGTCACAAAATGTGAGGTACAGTCCATTGCATTGCCATAGTAATAGTTCTCATAGTGAAAAATTCCAAACAGAATTTGAACTTTAAAAATTCATAGCTCAAAAAGTACTTAAGTATAAGTAACGTAAGCAAAGCTAGAGTGTTGATTCTGGTTTCATTTTTTAAATTTGAAGTTTGCTCTGTACTAGACTAGGGTGACCAACTTCCCGTAAAAACTGGATTGTCCCATTTTTTCACGATCGTAGCCGGTGTCCCGAAAAAGTCTCTCTGGGCGCCTAAATGTCCCGTTTTTTAAACCAAACACATTTTCAAATTACTAAAACTTCCTAATTTATAATATAACTTCACATAATATTTTGGCTAGCTGTGTAGCCAGTGCCAGTAGTGATGTGGGCTCACGTGATGACTGAACTATTCCCCCTCCACCACTCTGCGTAAACAACAGTGTCCCTGCCATAGAATTAGATCTTATACTTATATGTATAGCGAAAGACACGAGACTTGAAGTGAAGGTAAATTTAAAAAGATTTCTAGCTTTCAAAATAGTTAAAATGAGCATATTTCAATATATGCGCGCCCCCCCCCCCCCTCCACAGCCAACCCTCCTTGGCTTTAAAAAGATTTCTAGCTTTCCAAATAGTTAAAATGAGCATATTTCAATATATGCGCGCCCCCCCCCCCCCTCCACAGCCAACCCTCCTTGGCGGTGTCCTGTTTTTTTCCAGTTCATGATTTGGTCACACTATACTGTAACGGAGTGTCTACACGTCCGGCGCGCCGGACAAATAGTGCGCGTGATATACGTCCGGCGGGCATGTCACGTACCACCGGACGACTAGTAGTCGTTATTATTCCGAACGAAGAGGCTATGATAAGATCTTGTGTGGACTTGTGGTAGAGTGTTCGCTTGACGATATTATATTAGTGGATACCGAGCCCAGTATGGGATCTTTTTTTTTTCTTCTCATTTTAATTAAAAATATTTTATATTATATATATATTATCATGTTCATCAGCAACAGTAGTTTTATGAGAGGTTTTAAAATATTTTGTAGCAATTTAAACAATTTAAAATGAAATCTTTTACTTTTATTCGTTACCTACTCAATACTGGCCCCTAATCAAACTAATTTATTTTATGGATTACTTTTACACAAACTCAAATAACAAACTAAAAAAAAATGTTTACAAGCCACTTTCACTTAAATTTTTTTCTATTATTTGCATTCAAGATACTCAGTACATTACTTGGTAGAGAAATAGATTTTAAAATTAACAATACCAGTAGTTTTGAATCATTCGCGGTGACGTGACAAGGCTGACGGACAAGATATCTCTCGCAACTTTGTTAAGGCGGTCATGTGACTTGGTCGCCTGACAAATAGTGCGGGAGATATACGTCCGGCGCGCCGGACGTGTAGACACTGCCATACTATAATGATAATGCCTATACTATACTAGACTGTACTAGTACGACTACTGTATTATGTTTATAATTTTTTGGAATTTAATTTTTTTTTACCAATGATAATAAATATGTTATTATAAAGAACAATAATATTATATAGGCTAAGTAAGAGTTTGCAGGGCCTAAATTATAAAACAAAAACAATTCAACAATCTAATCTACTTCTACTACTTCTACGTCTACTTACACTTACTTTAATTTACTTTTACTAAACTATAACTAAGATTCAATATTTTTTCAATAATAAATTATATGATATCTTGATCTGATATGTCATGTCCAATATTTTCATTGCAGTTACACTTCTTTTTAACTTCTTTATGAACAGTAAACTGAGAATTGATTGATAATTAAATAAATTAATTATTGAAATCGAAGTAAGATTCTATATTTTTTGGGCTTCTTTTTTTTTTTTCTACTGATCTACAACAATTACAAATCTACTGGACTGGAATTATTAGGTTGCCTTGACTGTTCAAAAGTAAAGGCAAAGGGAGGGATAGAAAATGAAACTAACCTATTGAAAGAATACATATGTAAGATAAACATACAAAACTTAGAAATTGGTTTAAAAGAGGAACAAATGACAATTTAAAATGATCATACCCCGGTACCGATAGAACTCATGTTTTCGTCGTTGTAAAAGCTTTGTCATGAACTCTAAAAACTGTGAACACTTCCGTACTAATTTCTAAGTTTTGTATGTTTATCTTACATATGTATTCTTTCAATAGGTTAGTTAAACATACAAAAC